CTACCTTGTTGTTTTATTTCCATATGCAAAACTTAATAGACATCGCTCTTATATTGTCCAAACACAAACCTGCAGGAGCTGTTTTGAATATCCAAATAAGAATAGAATAAGATCAGAGAATATTGCAAAGATGACAGGATCAAGCCTTCAGCTAATTTTTTCCTAGTCTCAAAGTTTGAAATCAACCGGTTGGAGTATAAAAGTTTTAATTTGGCATACGTTTTTTGAGACAGGTAACCGATGTGTCTATCAAACTTCAAGTTAGAGTCCAAGATAACACCCAGGTTTTTAGAATGTTCTAACATGGGGATGCGCTCGTTATTTATAATTAGTATTATCGCGTAGTTTATGGTATATTACATATTTATGTTTCGGAAAAAAAGCATACTTGAACTCTTTTCGGGATTGATCCTGAGACAGTGCTTTTGATAAAAATCCGTAACATTGATTAGTCCAGTATTAGTTTTAAATGACACTTTATTTAACTAAGCATATTTGAACTGGAATGATAATTGCGTGTCATCAGCATACGTTTGTATAGAACAAAATTCCACACATGAGTCTAAGGCTATAGTGTAAATTAAATATAGCGGAGGTCCCAGAACCGACTCCTGCGGAACGCCAGATGAAACCACAGTACTAGAAGAGTCTTAACTACATGTCTTATTTCAACCAAGTAGCTTTGGAAAAATCTTAGCGGAATATCAGATAGTCCAATGTACTTCAGCAGGCTCAACATGATTTTGTGATTAACTGTATCAAAGGTTTTTGAGAAATCAATCATCACTAATATGGTATTAATGTGTCTGTCCAAGTTACCTACGATATTGTCTGTTAGACGAAAGCGTATTACATTTTAACAGCAACATGGAGATTGTACTATCACGATTTTATTTAAAGACTTGAGAGGGAGGTGCTTCATTGCCGTTTAAAAGTTAATACATGTGAAAAAGCATACTCTCAATCGGAAAAAATATTTTCTGATTTTTTATTTCGCTTTATTAACAGCAAGTGATATTGAAAAATGTATTGTTTTCTGTTATTTGTTCAGTGCAACTGGTATCCCCAAAGACAGAAATCCAGAGCTTCAAACCTTATCTTCAAATATAAATACGCAGTTATCTTCCACGGAGGTATAAATGCTTACTGAGGTATAAAAGCGAAGTTAAGCCCAGTAGCAATTCCGGATCTTAGAGATCCGAACATCCTAACTCCCACGTAATCTCAGGCCATCTTGGAACTTCCCACCGGACGATTTCTCTAACAAACCGCGTACAGAAGCCTCGAAAGGTATTTCTAGGAATTCACAGGGGTACCGACAATATGCGGTGGTGTTCCCATTACCGTAATCCGCACAACCTTATTCCGCCTAACTAGAATTAAAGCACGTCCCTTAAACTAAATTAAATTCCCTTTTTTTAGTGGGCAAGTTTCTGGAGCACTGGAAAGACTCAGTGGTGTGCTACGATACGTATAATACAAGTTCGTTATATAAAAAAATACTTTCAAGAACAAAAATTACTAACTTGCGAAGCTTAAGAATCTATACAGACTAGTAACCATCAGTTGGCAAGAGCTGTATTGACTTTCGATCCATCCTTAGGCCATCAGAGATGCTTACTGATTAGTTACATTCAGTAATCACCACTGTCAATAAAAAAATTTATAGTTGGAGTTTTTTATACTCCAAAGCTTTTGACAGAATTAACCATCGAAATGAGACGCGTGAAGTACAGTCAAAGACTACGAAACAGTGAATCGCGGCCTACCAGTTGGGAGTGTACAGATCTCAGTCCGCAAATTGGAGGCCAAGTCATTCACGTGACCGCTAAATGGCAACGCTTCTAACTGTGTGTAATAAATGAGGTCTACTTGCCACTGAACAAATTAAAATAATGCTTGTTTATATATTTTCTTCGTCTACCTGTTAATTTATGGTGCATACATAGATACATAGATTTTTTCTGTCAAAAAATGATTTATTTGCATTTTATTGGGCACATTTTCTTCAATCGTAACATGTTAAGAAATAATGATAAAGCTCTAAAATTGTTGGTGAATATTTACAGTAGAATTGAGCGGATAATTACTTTTTTCTTATCATTTTTTCTTTCAAAAATGCTTTGATGAAGAAAAGCGAAGATGTTTTGAAAAAAAAAACCTATAAAGAAAAAAGTAATCACCTGCTAAATTCTACTACCGTTTGAATAACAAATGCACAACAAAATTCTCAAAAAATTACATTTTTTGAATAAAAAACATGTATCTCATTCATCTCTATACACATCATGAATTAATCAGATGAAAAGTATTAAGAATACTGCTCCAAGCAGACTGTAGAAAAAAGAACCGTATGATGTTAATTGTCTCTTATCCGATAGAACCAATAAAGTTTACTTGCAGGGCAAGTAATACCTTCTGATGCCCCCACGTTTCACATCGAATATATCCTTCTTTAGCGATCGGCTATTGAATTGCTCTGCCAATTTTTATGTTGATGGTACTCGTATATTATATTCCTTTCCTCTAATTTGGTGCTACAAGCTTTGGGATTAGTCGACAATGATTTGAAGCACTAGCCACTTCGCTGCGTAAAATGTACCTTACAGACTACAGATTACAGAAGAAAGGGGTTGGCTTGCTAGCCGTAACGTCACTGTGACACAGATTGATCTATTGTGACCCCCATATACAGGGTAATTCACAAGTCGTGACCAAAGATGAAACATCATACACAGGACCGCACTTTAAGGGGTGTCTTTTATGTAACATTTTTCCTCGAAGGTTTCATTAAAAAAATACGTTGAAGTTTAAAAATAATTTCTTTTTCAATATCATCAACACTATCAACTGGGATAAACTAAAATTTGGTATGTGAATATACTTATATACTATATTGTCCACATCCAAGAGTCATTACTTAAAATTAATGATCACCAGTGGCGGGGATACAGGGGATTAGTGGCACTATTTTTCCAAATAAAAATAGTACGCCAATGTTTTTTTCGGAACACGCAATTTTTCGAATTTTACCTTCAATTTGCTATAAATAATTACTCTTGTGTTTTTTTAATAGAGTGCATTGTTTTAGTAAAAATAAAAAACAAATAATAGTAAAAGCTTTATCTCAATGAATGTCAAAAAAGACCACCATTCTGACGGATACAAGTAACATATTTCCACAAAATTTGTTGTGGCTTGAATTTGATGATGATCTATTCTTTCTTGTAACTGATCAACAGTATTAATTTGTTCAGCATACACTAGTTGTTTGAAAGCGACCCACAAAAGAAATCCAGAGGGTTCAAATCAGGAGACCTCGCAGCTCAATGTACGTGTCTGTTTGTGCCAATTTATCGTTGTATAAAATGATTATTAAATATTATGTCACGACGAACATGAGGTGGGGCACAGTCGCGCTGATACCACATTCGTACTCTTTTTGCTAACGGAACATCTTCAAGCACATTTTCTATGTAATTCACTAGAAAAGCAAAGTATGAGTTTGGATTTAAACGTTGTGGCAATTCTTGCATAAACAGTTGGCTATTGAAAATACCGCACCAGACAGTTCTAGAAATTATGTTTTGAAACAAGTGGATTCTTACAGAACGGGAATTTTCTATCAACCAAATATGTTCATTATGAGAATTAAAGGTCCCACTCCTCGTAAAGAGCGATTCATCTGACCACAAAACCAAACCAATAAAATCTGCATATTGATAATGCATTTACAATAACCATTCAAAAAAATTAAGCCGTTGCACTTCGTCGCCGGGTTGCAGACATTGCACATTTTGAGGATGGCAACGATGTAAAGCTCTACACTCAAGACTTTGGGAACATGGTAACTGGGCTGCAATTCGAATAGTAATTGTACTAGGATCATCCAACGCCAAATTAACCACTTCAATGGCCTCTAACTGCGGGAAGTTTGGCAATTCCATATTGCTGAAGTCTTAGAAATGAACGCGTAAAAACCTTTGGGGTAGGTTGGCGTCTGTTAGGAAACCTACGTTAAAGAGAATCCGCTAAAACAATTGCAATATACAACCGGTACAGAAAAATAATATCGGCGTACGCGTTATTGCTAAATTACATTTCACAACCCTCAAAAATGGAAAAAAAAAACTTTTGGCTTGACTTTTACAAAAAAAAAAATTAGATAACAACCGTATAACACATAATTACCTCCTAAGAAATGTCAAGTTGGTATCAAGGCCTCCTACTTTAATTTGAAACTCTCTATGAATGATCTAATTTGTTTTATTTTTATTTTTATAAAAACAGTGCACTCTGGAAAAAACTCAAGAAAAATTATTTGTAGCAAATTGAAGGTAACATTCGCAATTATCGCGCGATTCGAAAAAAAAAACAGAGACGTACTATTTTTATATAGAAAAATAATGCCGCTAATCCCCTGTAACTCCGCCACTGGTGCATGTTAATCTCAAGTAAGGACTTTTGAATATGGAAAATACTTGGGTAAATCCACATACCAAATTTTAGTTCATTCCAGCTGACGATTTTGAAGATATTTTATCCTTAAACTTCAACACCCCGTATCTTTTTAATGAAGCCTTCGAGGAACAAATGTTACATAGAAGACCCAACTTTAAATACGGTGCTGTGTATGATGCTTTATTTTTGGTCACAACTTCCTGTATACTTTCCAAAGCATTGTGACCAGCCTTCATCCTTCAGACTGCATAGCCTTGACACATGGCGGAGCATGTAGCTTTCCGCTGTTCAACCTATGGTTCCCGCTATCTGAAACCGCAGCCTTGTCAGGTCTTCACAGTGACACACGAGGTGCACAGAGTTCCTCGCGCTCTCTGCAGAAGCAGCATGTGGCCTCTTCTGCCAGACCCACGAGACTTATATGTCGATTTAGACGACAGTGTCCTGTCAGAAAGCCCACTATGGCCATTATGGCCTTCCTATTAAATCAAAGTGGGCCTTCTGTATGATGACCTTTGTTCTTTGACGAACTCTTTTACCTGCCTTAGCCCTAATTGGCTCTTCCACCATTCTAGGGACCTTCTTTTGGTCCAATTTCTTATGGACTGTTTAGTGCGTGTTCTTGTCACGCCACATAAAGGGTCTGGACCTATAAGGGGATTGACCGCTTCCTGTCGGGACAGCTCATTCCCCTTTTCATTTTCTTTGTGCCCTTCATGTTCTGGTTCCCAGAGCAATGTGAATAAGTACCTTACTCAGAATCTAGATAAATCTCAAGTGAGACTGTTGGAGCGTTCCGAGTGATAGGCGCATTGTATATGCATCATCTAAAATACATCATTGCTTACGCACATACAACTGTAATTATATCTGTCTTAGTTTTTTATACATCCATCAAATGAAGAAAAACAGAAATTTTGAAATAATAATAATAATAACAATTTATTCGGTATAGGCTATTACAACTGGATGAACATGTTATACAAAATACTCGAATAACTTAATAAAGTACCCACAGAAAGGATCATACATTCCTTGTGTATGGGTGGATATTGCTAACTAATTACTAAGAATACATAACATATACAGGGTGACTTTGAAGTTGAGTCATTTATTTTAACAGTGAGTAGATCTGATCAAAAGAAATGTTTTTTTCCTTTAACATTTTTCTGGTAAAATTAAAGTAACAATGTTATAGCCCTTTAGAAGTTTGAGTACCGCCCTGTCTCAATAATAATATTATGTGCTCGTGTTTGGCAACAACGGATATAATCCGCCTTATCGGTTCATCGCATCGGAAACAAAAAAGCGAAAGAATTTGAAACGTTTATCACGATGTTTTTCGTCAGTCGGTAACGCGTGAGTGAATAGTGGTGTTTGTTGCGTGACTCACACGAAATGAAAAATGGCACATGTTTACGAAAACTGCTGAGCTTGTGGACATGATTCTTATTTACGGGGGGGGGGGGGGTCTTTACAAAATGCTGCCGCGGCAACACAGATTTGTGCGAATCGGTTTCTCAATCGAGTGCAACCAACCCCTCGTGCCTTTGTTAATGTAGTACAAAGGGCTCGTGAATCAGTCGACTTAAGACCTCACAGGGGAGGGTATGCCGGTGCTCCAAGACCGCACGATCAAATACAGGGCCGCACTGAAATACTTGTCGGGAGGATACTTTATAAAACAAGGTAACATTTTTAAAAATTTTTTTTTTTATTTTTACACACATATTTTGGTTTATCTTCCTTCTACAATCATTATCTGAAAATTAATGACTCAACTTCAAAGTCACCCTGTATAGATAATATTGCACATTAACTAAAAGTATGAATAGACAAATATGCTAATAAGGAAAATCTAAGTTTTAATTATCAGTGATATGATACACAAACACACAAAAGAAAAAAATGCTTTTATAGGAACGATACAGTGATTGATTTTATAAGATTATGCGCTGGTAAGTACATTAGGATGCATCTTGTCTATTTCTCAATCAGTTATTAGATTTTTCATAATTACCTTCTTTGTTGTTCCATTATTTTATATAGCTGTTCTTTATATCAATCGCATTATGAAAGATTGACGGACTTTTTGATAGTATCCATTTCTTTGAATCTAAGATAAAGAATGCACACGTCGTATGGTAAGAAAATAACAGACTTTATTGAAGGAACGAAGAGTGGTTACAAGTATTGAACAAAATCTGTCTGAGCCTCGATATAATTCTAATCTTTATAGGAAAAATAACAGAGCTGTATCGAAAAAAAGAAGTAAAAAGCAAATATTTCTTAATGGGCTTGCTTGCCATACAATTCAATTTGTTGGAATAATGGGCTTGTACCACATTGATATGTTACCAACAGGATTCCATAACTCCTCCCTCCTACGAAAAGTTGGTCTCCAACTTAGAGAAAATTTAATTTACAGTTACATTATGGTTCCAAAGCTGTAAGAGTCGTAAGAAAGGTTTTGCAACTTAGTATGAACTATTATTTCCAAATGATTTTGGTAATAAGAAGGATTTAAAAAGCTAAAATTACTTTCAAGTAAAGGCAATGATAATTCAATCTGCTTGCAGTCTTTAATACCAATTGAAATATTAGTATTAGTAGTATTTTAAGTGAATATGAGGACAGTTTTCCAACATACATGGCTTACATGTGCCTGTTTAGTAATTAAAAACATAAATGCGGATTGTTACTTAGTTTGGTTAAATTGGAGCAAAATCTTTCTTCTTCAAATTACAAAGTAAAATTGCTTGGGATCTTTATTAATTCATTCCTTATAATTAACGGATACAATTCAAAAACGCTGTAAGATTTTACGATCAAGAAGAGGTACATGAATTACGAATATGATTCATTTCGCAAAGTTACAATTGATAGTTCGCAAAGATTCAGTATCGCAAAAGGGTGCATTGTTTCAACATCTAACAGATGATCTTTATGGTATAAAGTTTGCAAATGTTCAATGAGGATACTTATTTCCCTATGATTTGATGAAAGAATGGATATGACGCTCAAATGATTAATTTGAATTTAAACTTATTTGATGTGCGATTTGCTCGAAGAATTTCATTTGAAAAGCCATATTTTGTGTAACAGAAACTATGCTTTCTTGGATATTGATAGTATTGTGCTCAAAAGTGCCTTGCAAACCTTTACAGAAGAAAATAACTTTTTAATTCTGTAGATTCAGTGCGTGTTGATTTTCATGTAGTTTTGGATTGGTTATATAATTTAAATTAATAAGGAATTGAGTTTCATGACGATTTTCGATTGATCTTGAATTTCCTAGCGGCAGTTTGATTACCGGAGGTGCTTTGAGCAGAGGGTTCATCGGTAGCGCTCGAATTGGTAGCCATTAAACTGGTAGAGCTCTGTAAAGGATTTTTACGTTGAGGCTTGATTCGTCTCAGCATGTGTTTTCTATCTTTGATTAAAATTTGATTTCCTTGTTGTTTGAAAATAGTGTGTTTTTGATATTTTGGTTTGTCCTTAGTTTGTCTGATTGGGATTTTGATATAGATCGGAGATTTTAAAACGGGGATCTTAGATACGCGTTTTTCGTTAATTTTGTTAGTTTGTTTTTTTAATTGATTATAAGAATCGTGAGCGATTTGTTCATTAATTTTGTCTTTTTCTAATATTTGTTTAAGATGTGATGAATAAGGGTCTTCAGTACTACCGTATAATAAATCAAAAGGTGTATGTTTTGTAGTAGAATGAACAGATTGATTGTAATTTAATATAACGTCAGTCATTAGGTCAGTAGTAGTGTCTGTTTTTCGAGTCTGTCTTAGGATTCGAAATTTTTCTCCAATGGTACCATGTAATCGTTCAATTGGTGCAATAGAACTAGGATTGCTGGTGCTTCCTAAGTGCAAATGTATTTCATGAGCTTTACAATAATCTTTAATAACTTCTGAACGTAATTCTCCATAATCGGCATGAAGTGATTTTGGAAATCCATGATGTGAAAAGAAATGTTTCATTTTAGATAGTATGTCAACGTGATTTCGTGACATGGTTTGATAGGCTTGGGCATATCGACTAAAGTGGTCTATAAAAGTTACATATTTAGTATTTTCAATAGTAAAAATATCTATGAACACTAGTTGGAATGGTTTGTTACTGAAAAATGGGCCTTGGATTGGTTCTTTGTAAGGTTTTCGTTCGTATTTAGCTTTTAAACAGATTTCGCATTTATTAATGATGTCAGTTATAAGGTCTTTAGGTCTTTAAGTTTTGGAAATGAGAATAAGTTTCATTAATTCCGTTGTGAAATTTATGATGGTACAAAGTTATTTCGTCCTTCATTTCTTGTTTGTCTAAATAAATTGGTTTGAATGCAGCTTTTTCTAGTACAATATGTTTTGCAGAAAAATATTGTGTCATAATTTTACTAAGTATGGGCAAACGTTTCTGATCGTCGTACCAAATTCCGTATTTAATACCAGGGGTACAATAATTTTTTATACAGTCCAAAATAAATGAGGAACATAAGTGATTAATTAAAGAGCACCTTAGTGTCTTATTCGGAAGTAATTTGATCTTGTTTTTCTTTTTACCTGTTATAAATTCAATTCGGTGATGATAGGCATAAAAGTTTTTGTTTGAAAATTGAATCGAGTTTGGGTTTGATTCAGGCGAAGTGTGTCTCGTGTTAGTTGATCTGTTGTCTGTTTCGCGAATAGTCATTTCTGATTCGGGTGCGTTAGGGATCATTGATTCGGTTTCGAGATAATCCTAAACATTTATCTGGATTCGGCTTATGGCGTCAGCAACTAAATTTGTTTTGCCTTTTTTGTATTTGTAAATTATCGTATTTTCGACAAATTTGTAAGGCAGCTTGAAGAGTTGTAGGTGTTGCGTTAAATAGGAGTGATTTATATGGTTCTTTAATACCAGTTACAAATGAATTTAATGCAGCTTCTGTGTAAAGGTCGACTCTAGATTGAGCAACTATATTAGAAAATTCCAAAAGAGCATATTTTCTAAGAATATGTAATTTTTGCAAAATTTCAGTATGAAAATTCATATAGTCTGTGTACTGGGATAAATTTCTAAGTTCATCAAGTAGCATTAATTCGGATTTTGAATCTTTGTAACGTTCTTTGAGAATTTCTTCAAATTCTTGCCAAGTTTGAGGATTATTTCGTTCAACGATAACAGAAGGTTCTCCTTGTAGTTTGGATTTTACGTACGATAAAGCATGAATTTAATATGGTCCATGCAAAGCGGCAACAAATTCTCTAGATTTATGTAAATATACAGATAAATTATTTGATGTTTCAGAAAAAATAGGCACACTATCTTTCAATAAGTTAAATAACATTTGTGGATTGTCAGCCATGGTTGTTCTGAATTCCTCTCTAACGTTAGCTTGGTTTTTTACTGGTTGTCTTCTAATGGGTGATCGTTCTCGTACTGGAGATTTACCAAAAGTTTCTTTGACTAAATAGATAACATGGATTTGGCTTACTCTAGCGTTATGTGAAAAATCAAATTTTTCATAACGGAGACTGCTCTGGTTCTTGTAGCTCTCTGTTTCTCTAGGCTCGTTCTGCAGCGACCTCGGACGTGGCTCTCAGGTTTTCAGATCGTTTCTCTTACGGAAGTGGATACTTCCTACCTCACAATGGTTGGTCATACAGAAGGAACGTAGTTCAGCTCACCTGATGAATCTCGAATATTTTACTGATGGTTTTCTGGGCTCGTACAAACTTCCAGATGTTTTCCACGAAGGCGTATAACGATCCTGTTTGCAGCGCCAGATAAAGAATGCACACGTCGTATGGTAAAAAAATAAAAGACTTTATTGCAGGAACGAAGAGTGGTTACAAGTATTGAACAAAATCTGTCTGTGCCTCGATATAATTCTAATCTTTATAGGAAAAATAACAGAGCTGTATCGAAAAAAAAAGAAGTAAAAAGCAAATATTTCTTAATGGGCATACTTGCCATACAATTCAATTTGTTGGAATAATGGGCTTGTACCACACAGTTATGTTACCAACAGGATTCCATAACTTCTATCTATATTATTGTTCTCTTTTATTTCTGGTGGTAGTAAATTATAACATCTTGGAGCTAGGAATGCGTATGATCTTTGTAATAAATATGTTTTTTCTGGTAATGGTACTTGTAAGTTGCGTTAGTTTCCTGTTTCGTAACTATAAGTGGTGTAATCTACAGCGACTTTGTCTTTGTGTTGTTCTATGAGGATATGGAAAAAGCATAGTTGCCGAATGACAGGTATTTTAGCTTCTAGATAGATCATATCGCTAGGGTAAGTCATTGGTCGATTTCCTTTTTTTCCTTGAGTATCAGTTTCTGGATTTTCTCCAGCTGATCTATATGAATCCCCAAACTTGTATACTATAATTGATGTGGCTTTCGATTAATGCGTGATATATTGTTCTAAGTTGCTGTATTAATAGAGAATGCTTGTCTAGTTTTATACTCGTAGATAAGAAATCTCAGTTTTCTCACTACATGTTCAATGTGAGTGTCCCAATAAGGTCTGCATCTATAAAAACCCCTAAATATTTTATCTTCACGGTTCTGGTAATTGTTTCATTACTGAAATTTAAGTATTCGTAGACCGGTACGTGTTTGGGATAGGATGAAAGTATTATAGAATATGTGTTGTCGTAGTTAATGGATAGTAAGCGAGATCTGAACCAATGTACGATATTACTAAAATCTTGCTCATGTGTTACCCTTAAGTATTCTCAATTTTTTGCTTCATAAATGACGACAGTGTCATCCGCAAAACTTACTACTGTTGGTAGGCTGTACAGGTCGTTAACATAGATATTAAATAACATCGGTCCTGAAACCGTGCCCTGAGGAATACCACAATTCACTATATGTGAACTGCTATAACATCCAAGTATATTAGCGCATTGTTCCCTTCCCTGTAAATAACTGTTAAATTATTTGTGAGCCACTGTCCGTATCCCTATACGCCACATGGCATCGAGTAATCGTGAATGGTATACGGTGTCGAATGCTTTTTTAAGGTCTACAAATATCCAAAGACATGGCATGGCGTGCTTTTATCGATGCAGTGACTTATTTCAGATGTAAGCATTTTTATAGCATTTTGTGTCGATACGTTTTCGCTAAATCCATACTGCTGATTACATATTACATTGTATTTCTCTAAAAATCCATTTAGTCTGACTTTTATGGCTTTTTCGACTACTTTCGCGATACTTGAGATAAGAAATATTGGTCGATAGCTGGAGCCTTCATTTTCGTCTCCTGTTATGTATATGGGTATGACAACTGCCTTCTTCAAAGTTATCGGAAAGTATCCAGTGCTAAAACTCCAGTTTATGATTAAACATTGAGGACTGCCTATTTCTTCAGCCATAATCTTTAGCGGCTCAGAACGAATACCGTCTTTCCCAGCAGATCTATGATTTTTATTGCCAAGTATTATCTGAACAACTTCATTATCGGACACGTCATCTAAATATATAGAGTTAATTACGATTTAGGAAAACTCTCAGTTGGGTTGTTGGGTTAGTCGTTGTTTTTATCTTTTCAGACAGGCTTTGCCCGATATTGGTTTAATAGTTTATGAATGTTTCCCCTATTTTTTCTTTTTCACGTAAAATTTGTCCGTTTTCTTCTTTTATTTGGTTAAATTTTACTGTTTTCGAACGATTAATTTTTTCAACATTTTCCATAGGTTACTAGAGTTTTGATTGTTTTTATTTATTTCTTTTTGAAAGTACACCTTTTTTGCTTTTTGTACATTCATGATGAACTTATTTCTTACTTTTTTGTATGCGTCTATGTTTTCTCCTGTAGGACTGACTTGCATTTCCCTATAAAGACTTATCTTTTTTTTGTTGTCATTTAATAGCTTTTGGGTCATACAAGGATCACGCTTTTTATTGGTGTTTTTTATTTTTAACTTATTTGTGTTATATTTTGTAATTTGTGTGATTATATTTATAAATTCGTTAACAGCCCCATCCAAGTTATTTGCCGAGTATACACCCACCCACAGCTCTCTCGATACGCAGTCTTTAAGTTTATTTCTATGAGGATAGTATTTTATATTATTCGTGTTGCGTTTTTCTGCTTTCTTTCCAAACCCTTCTATACTACTTATAGTGGTAGAGTAATGATCTGTCACATCGGTTTCTATAATGGCCGGGGTGTATTTTATATTTATGTATATAGGAATGCATTTTAAAATATGAGCGATGAAGCATTTTAATATCTTAGCAGCTTTTACATACATTGATTTAAATTTAAAACCAAGAGAGCTTTACTCAGGGAGCCTGTATATGTATAATAGACAAAGCCAGACAATTCGATCGAATCCCTGTTTCCATTATTCCATTATTTAGTACGTGGTCCCCTGACCTAGAGATCTATGGTATCCAATCACAAACCACCTTGTAAACCAAATTCGATATACATTAGTCTACGTCACCATACTGTACAGTTGGCGATAATGAATTTAAGTCGAATGTCTAACCGCAGTCAAAGACAGACCCATCCCTATTTTTATCAGTAAGAGGTATTGCAGTAAAGGAATACCATTATCAGTACGGTCAACTCACCGATTAGAGATGCCATGAAATTTCTGATCGGTTCAAATTTTTCTTACCAGTTTCTCATCAAGCTGTGTGATACATCTGACTCATCTGATCATGGTTCATATTAGTGCAACATTTGAAACTTATGATGTAGTTTTCATGTTCAAATTTCATGTTGAAATATATATATATATATATATATATAGATCAATAACAATACATTTTGAGGAAGGTCACCGTGGTGGGCAAGACGTCAGTAAAGAGTAATTACCACATACATACGCGGTTTTATTCTTCTGAATAAACCTGGAGTTCTTGGTTCATCTGTTACAGTTTATTTTCAACATGTCTAGTAGCCCAGGTACTAGTCAGTCTTGGAGGGAAGAGCGGAAAAATGGAACGAAGGAGGAAATGAAAGTAGAAAGAACGAAAGCAGAAAGAATGAAGAGATCTTAGTATTGGATGCTTTGCAACTGCCGAGCTGTCCCATCAATCC